AAACATATCTGCTACTCTTGGAGAAATCGAAACTCACATGTTTAGCCATCCCAAAGTCAGCAAGCTTGACAACTCCACATGCATCAACAAGCAAATTAGCACCTTTGATGTCCCTATAAAATTTGATGACTCAAAATTTGTCAGACCAGAAATGATGTTCAAGTAAACTCATAACTGAAACTTCATGTCTTAGTTATTAGGGTTGTGAAAGACAATTTGTCATCCATAAATCTATCAATAGAAGTTCAAAAAATAATTGTTATCTTCTCCTGTTTCCCTTGGGGATTCTATTGCCACATCCATCAACATTACCTGTGTATGGTTTTTGTACTATGCAAATAAGCCAGCCCACAGAGAATGTGACGAGTAAAATTGCGAACTACAGATTCCGTGATAGCTCCACAATGGTCACGGATGAATTTATTGATTGAACCAGGATGAACATATTCCAGGTATATATAAAACCGGTCGCCAACCTGCATGCACATAAATTGAGACCCTTGTTAGAGCACGTATACAGACCTAAAGCAGAAATCTGAGCTCCAAGAGAATTACTTACAATTTCACTACCATAATACTGCACAATGTTTGGATGCTTCAGATTGCTAAGCACTTCAATTTCCTGCGGAAAAAGAAAAAAAAATAACAGAAAGCACAAGATCCTATTTTTAGGAACCCTGATCTAGAGCACCATGGCATATTTGGGATGTTCAATAGGTTCTTCTATTTAGGAGCCTATTGAACAATGTCATCTGTTCAAAGCATCTTCTATAAATAAATAACTTTTCCATGAAGCTAACGAACTGCAGAAAAGATGAACTTTAAGTTTTATTTATTAATTTAATTTTTAGGAATGCATAGAAGAGCCTATTGAACAATGTTATAAAGAAATACAAGCAAATCCAAATTTTCAGACACCCACAAGAAGTAGGATCAAAGAATTCAGAGAATACATATGCATTTAATGAATGGAAGTGCTTCAGATTGTCACCTTAGCTGCAGTTTTGAACAGTCTCAAACTTGAAGGCAAAATTTCTTTTCAATAATATGTACTCTTGTAAAGGAAAAAAAGAAATCAAAAGGCTGTACTCTTTATTTATTAATCTTATTTCTTCTCTCATTTCCTGTCCTTCTACTTAGCTTTGTCCTCTGGCATCAAATACATAAGCGCCCTATGCTAGGAGAAAAATCATCAACCTCCACTGATATCTCGGATATGCATATCAGTCATATCCACCCAATATCAGCTTATACAAATCCAATATTTTGTGATTTTAATATGACCAACAATGATTCGAGGAGCACAACAAATCGTACACAATTAGTATGCATTACATTTACATTTTTATGATTAGGCTGCTGGATTCTAAAATACCAAAATAAGAGAAATGTATAAAGTGGAACATAACCTGTTCCAATTGCCTCATACGCTCAGCAGATTTTGTGTCATCTGGTAAAATTTCAACTTCTTTCATGGCACATAAGGCTCCAGTCTCTCTGTTGACGATAACAATTAGTTAGGTTATGATCCCACATGAATCTTGGAAAAAGTAAATGTCTTGTACCTGCATACCTATTTGAGGCTACATACACACTTCCGAATGTCCCACACCCAATAAGCTTTCCTTTCTGCCATTGACCTTTAATAGGCATCAATTCTGGTTTAACTGGGACTGGGTGTGAAGGCAATGTAGCTCCTGGAAAATCAGATTTAGGTGCAAGTAGGGAAATTGGAGTTGGCTGTGAAGGCATGCAAGATCCTGGAAATTCAGTTCTAGTTGGTTTTGGGGACAATGGAGTAGCCTGTGAAGGCAAGGAAGCTCTTGGAGGAAGAGGTAAGTGATGAACAGTGGCTTGAGAATTGCTCTCATGCCATGATACAGGCCTAGTAGCACTTGTTGTGCGTCGGTGGGAACTTTCCCTCGGACTATGGATGGGAGAACTGTCATCACTTGATGCACCTTTTTGGGGTGGTATTTGGTAGGAAAACCCTAGGCCAAGATTTGCATCTGAATCTGAATGTGGCACCTCTGGTGCAGACCAAGCTTGAACAACACTTGGAGGAGTCGGGTAATGTGCTGCAAGAAAATCACTTCCACCTCTTGGAGGGCTTGGTCCGGGGCTTGAATAAGGACTAATTGGAGCACTTGCAGGAATATAGATGTTGCAGTTATTTAACAATCTTTCCAAGCCATTTTCTGCCCAAGAAGATTTCCCAGATGACCGCATTTCAGTACGAGCTGCATTCATCTGAGCATCTTGGCTATCTAATCTGCTGACAAGGGAGAATTAACGAACACGCAACAGAGAATCAATATCATCGTGCTTAAAGGAACATCCCCCTACGCAAAAACAACTATAACATGTAATAAGTACTGGCTAAAAAAAGTAAGGAATAAAGAAAGCGAAAATGAAAACGAGTGTTTCAATTGCAGCTACATCTAAAAGACAATTAAGGTCTAAGAACCAAATCTCTAAACTATATAAATATAGCAGAAACTGAATTTTTTCAAGAAAATAAAAGAAGCCTGAACAGAAATTGAATGCTAGAAACAACTTTTGTTTTAATATAATGAAAGCATCAAATAGTTATAAAAATCAAATGAGCTGGGAATCAAATAGGCAAGGAAATACATAGTTTATAAAGAGAACACAGATGTATGAAATAATCCAAATTAGATACGGAAAAGTGTATAACAAATATTCAGAAACGTCAGCTTTCTCTTTTTCTTATTTAACTCTTACACTGCAGCGAGCAATTCAACCTATACATATTAGACAATGCAGTGTTAGATGCCGGAAATAAAATTATAATTTTCAAATTAAATTCACAAGATTGCTATATATACATGACATCATATAAGATTCAAAATCAAACATTCCACAAAGTACGAATATGTGCAGCGGATGTAAGAAGCATCTTTAAAAAAAAAATCGCAGTAGTCAGTAACCACGCACACAATACTCAATTCATAAAATCATATTTAATAACAATGATGAATTTAAAATCAATGTGAAATTTCATGTGCCATAGTGTTTCCATACCTATTAAGCCTATTGGGTCCATCAATAGCATATGCATTTAACGCCTTGGATTTCTCCCTTTCTATATTCCTCTCTTCACCTCCACCACCACCTCTGTGACCAACATTACTAAGCGCGTCGTAGGGCGAGGGCAGATTATACGAATTAGTAGCGGAACCATTCAACTTTACATCATGTCGCAACAGAACCTGAACTTCCGGAAGAGGCAGAGGCAGCGGCTGAGGGCACGGCTGAGAGAGCGAATTGACACAATGGGTAGGCGTTCGCCAAAGCTCCACGTCGTTATCCGTCAAATGCCGCAACTTCCTTGCGCGCGTTAGCTGGCGGCTTTTAGTGGACGAACACATATCCGTTTTCAACGTGTACCCGCCCATTCCTCCGCCGATAAGATTGTCGTCAGAATTCGATTTTGAAGAAGGCATGAATGCGCCCTGCCACCAATGCATAATTGCAAAAATGCGCACAATACATTTATGTAATGGTGGCAGCAAACAAATAACAATGAATTTTCAGGAAGAATAATGAGTATGTGGCATGGTGGATGAAGAAGAGACCCTCGAAAATCGAAATGTAAACGCTTAAGCCGCGGTTTTTGACAGCGAAAGAAAACGAGAAAGGCCATTGGGTTTTCTTTATCCGGACCAAATAACTTCTTCACATTATTTAAAATAATAATATAATTTTTTATTATTTAAATTACACGTTATATAATAAAAATGATATTACATGTAAATTCAAATTATTTTTTTTAACAAGACGTTCTCCATCAAATCAATATTTCAAAATGCATTTTTAACTAAAAATGAGGTTCAAACAAGCTCATAATTTATTTTGGAAAAAATGTATTTTAGAATAGTGATTTTTTTAAAAATATGTGGTTAAAAAATTAGGAAAACTTTTTGAATTTACATATAATATTATTTTATTGAAAAAATATGTAGTTAATAGGAAGAGTAAGAAAAATATATTTTGAATAAAATGGGCCCACGAGCTAAATATATACCTATACCTACCATAATTAAATATTTTTAGTACTATCTGTCGGTGATGGATGGAACGGTGTTAGAATTATTGCTTAGTCTTGGTTTTGAATGGTTTGTTCTTCTGCACCTGTGTCAACATTATAGACTTATCGTTTCTTTGAAATGGTCAGTCCAGTGTTAATTTGGAAATCAAACTGTTTATTCAGACGTAGAGAGTCTATGTGTACAGAAAAAAAAAAAAAAAATACGCACAAAGTATACAGAATACACACAAATAAGTGGTCTTCCTTTTTTTGGCAATATTTAGAACTTGTTTGGAAGAGATTTTTGGGGGAAGAATTGATTTTGAATAGTGATACAATGGGAAATGTGTGGTTGAAAAAGAAGAAAAAGTTATTGATGTGATGGAAAATATTATTTTATTGAAGAATGTGTGGTTGAAAGTGAGAATTGATTTGATGATCTATTCTCAAAATCAGAAACAAACACCCCCTTAAGATAAAAATCAGATTTTAATTTGGACACAGGGGCCTAATTAGGACTTTAACACAATATTACACGTTATATAATAAAAATGAAATTACATGTAAATTCAAATTATTTTTTTTAACGAGACGTTCTCCAACAAATCAATATTTTAAAATGCATTTTTAACTAAAAATGAGGCTCAAACAAGCTCATAATTTATTTTGGAAAAAATGTATTTTAGAATAGTGATTTTTTTAAGAATGTGTGGTTAAAAAATTAGGAAAATTTTTTGAATTTACATATAATATTATTTTATTGAAAAATATGTAGTTAATAGGAAGAGTAAGAAAAATATATTTTGAATAAAATGGGGCCCACGAGCTAAATATATACCTATACCTACCATAATTAAATATTTTTAGTACTATCTGTCGGTGATGGATGGAACGGTGTTAGAATTATTGCTTAGTCTTGGTTTTGAATGGTTTGTCCTTCACCTGTGTCAACATTATAGACTTATCGTTTCTTTGAAATGGTCAGTCCAGTGTTAATTTGGAAATCAAACTGTTTATTCAGACGTAGAGAGTCTGTGTACAGAAAAAAAAAAAAAAAATACGCACAAAGTATACAGAATACACACAAATAAGTGGTCTTCCTTTTTTTGGCAATATTTAAATCACATAAGGCGGCCATTTGAGTATTTGCATTTTTTCTGTAGAAATTTTTCTGCAAATGGACGTAGCTTAAGTCAGATAAAAATGGAACGCAAAGGGGGTTTTTTTTTTACACTACAAATATCGGTAACATTAGCGAGAATGATCAATTTTAAGGCCCTAAATTTATCGACGCCCGTCTTTAAAGATTATCGATCAACACCAACAAAATGAAATTGATGCGATTATAACGAACTATCCATCTGCAACTGACCCCTAAATCGGGTGCAGAGAAATTAAGGGTCCGTTGGATTGCAATAATGAAATTTAGATGGAAAGAAAATGAATTCTATTAAATTGAATTGTCTGGAACTTGTTTGATTGAGAATTGTCAATTAATTGTGTTTGATTGGTATAATTTTTCACCTGAAAATATTGAAATTTTGAATTTTTTGGTATTCGTTTGACTTTATTTTTTATGAAAATTGTCCATTAAAGAGATATAATTTATTTTCATTGCCAAAATAAAAAAAATAAAAAAGCTGCCTAGAAAACAAATTCCCACCAAAGTGGTGGGTAGGGGTGAGCGTGGGTTGGGTTGGGTCGGTTTTTGCCCCAACCCAACCCAACATTGTCGGTTTGTTCAAAATTCAACCAAACCCCAACTCATGTAAATGTTGAAACCCAACCTAACCCAACCCAATTATGTGTCGGTCATGTTGGGTTGGGTCGGTCGGTTTGTATCGATGATTTCTATTAACTAGTTCTAAATTACAATGTTACAGCTCATGTCTCAATTCAAATTATCAACAAGAAAATCAGAACTAAAACGAGAATTAACGAGAAGTAAATGAATATATAGAAATAAACGAGTAGCCACTGGACCAGCAAGCAAGCAGGACAGCCACGAGAAACCAGACAGGCAGAAACTACATATTCTTTTTTAGAATTTCCCACTTACATTTCATATGAAGGTTTTATTTCTAGAATAGCACTAAAATGAAGGTTTTATTTCTAGAATTAAAATAAATAGATGAAGGTTTCCCCTCAGAAGCCCACTTTCATGCTTATATAGGAAGGGGAAATGATAGTTTTAGAATAACAATAAATTAATGAGATTTCTACTCATAAGCTCACTGAATATTATTTAACTATAACGAAATCCATCATGAAGTCTAACCATATTTCATTACGGGAAACTAAAAATACATTTGTGAAGGCATAGTTCTCCAGCACTTTGCTTCTTGACTAGAGGCTTCCCATTGGCATTTTCAGCAAGTTTCCTCCGTTTTTCCTTTACTTTAAACAATTTAATCATGATTCCTACAAGAATAAAAATTCTAATGACTGTAATAATCAACTAAATAAAGTAGTGAAGATGAAGAAATGAGAGGTTAAATATGTTTCTTGGTCATGCTCAATGATCTATTAAATAAGTTTGTACAGAAAAGTCTACAAAATGAGGGCTGAATCTTAGTAATAAGCCAGAAAAAAAATGCAAACTTTGTAACTTGCCTTGGGAAAGGAATTGAAGGCTAAATCGCTTGATGGAAATCGGAAAGGAGAAAAAAAAAGGGGGCAAAATATGAAGAAAGGAGGAGGAAAGAGAGAACTGGGAAGTCGACGCTTTTGATTTGTGTTGTGAGGGAAATGTTGGAAGTGCAGCTGTACTGGTGCAGGTTTAGTTGAAAGAGGTTTGAAAAAATAAAAAAAAATGGGCCCTTTTTTTTTGTTGATGGGTCGGGTTTGGTCAGGTTGGACGGGTTAACCCACAACCCAACCCACTAAGCCTTGCCAGAACCCAACCCAAAAAAAAAAAAAGGAAAAAAATCGAACCAACCCGCTCGGGTTTGTCGGGTTGGTTCGGTTTTTGCCCACCCCTTACCTCAAAAGGCAAGAAAATGTGGCAAATCAAAAAAATGTGAAAAACCAATTACCTTAAAAATGTTTCCTATCAAACACCCTAAAAAGTGAAAAGTGGCAAAAGAATTTCAATCTTTCATGGAAAACTTGTCCCCATCAAACAGGGCCTAACATGTTATGATTTGGATATTCCTAGGAATTGTTTAAGGGAAGAGTTCACTAATCAGGTATTAACTTTGACAATTGCAAAAATCAAGTGTTAAGTTTCAAACTTGTAAAAATCAGGTATTAATTAATTAATTAATTAATATTAATTAGTTAAAAATTAATTTTCGGTTACAGTTTTTTTTTGCGGGTCACAGATTTTTTAATGGTCACATATAAAAAAATTTCTAGGTCACAATTAATTTGTTGGTCACAGATCAAAATTTATAGGTCACACAGTCATAGATTTTCAAATTAGTTGGTCACGAATTTTTTCACAGTCACAGATTATATAATTTTTAGATTACAGATAACAAAATAGTTGGTCACATATTATATAATTGGTCACGTTCCAGGCTCAATTGGTCAAGACACATGGTTGGGCTAGGTGCGCCATGTGAGGGCGAGCCTAGCCCAAGTGGTTCGTCACCATGGGTCTTCATGCCGGCGTCGAAATTTCCAGTAAATATGTCCGCTTGTCACGAGTTCGAGAGTTTCTGGGTCAAATTCAGGCTATTGGGAGTTAAATCGAGGTTGACACATACCTGGGCAAAGTGCGTATTGGGGAGGGGAAGAGGACCTAGTTGGTCTGCCACTGTGGGTCGTCCGGAAGGCTCCGAAAACTGCATTTTTCGGACCTGCTGGTTTCTCGTTCGCGACTACAGATATTGTCGTGGTTAATTCCGTTTTGTGTGATGCTTTTTGGGATGAATTGTGGACATGGGGAGGGTCGTCTGGCTTTGGGGAGTTGGCCGGTGGTGGCCCACCACCGTGAAGTTGACCGGAGAAGACGGTTCTAGCAGTTTTAGCATTTTTGGGCAGCTGATTTTGACGGTTGATTTCTCCCTCCTACTTGAATGAAATTGATGGATGTTGGGTGGAAATTAAAGGTGTTGTTAAGGGCTTTGCAATGGTATCCAAATTCGGTGGTCTTGGTGGCCGAAATTTTTTTTCCCATTCTAAAGAGAAGGAAGAACGTTTGGAGGTAGAGAGAGAAAGTGAAAGATGAACGGCAGCATCGTGACGCAGTCGCAGTTCACAGCAGGCAAAGAAAGACTCAAAGACAAGGGAGAAGAGGGGAGAGAGTGGAAGGAGGGAAAAGGGAGAAGGATGAAATGAAATTAGGATTTGGGTGGTATAATATTTAATTACCTAAATTGATTAAAAAAATTTCACACCTGATTTTTGCACTTTTGAAGTTTAAAGACTTGATCTATGTAATTTTCCCTTTGTTCAATTCTTCTGTACCAACAACCTTGTTCAAAATAGCATCACTAATCTAGTAACGTCGCCGGCCATGTTTGGGACTTGAATTCTTCTAGGCTTTTTGTTTCTTATCCAGTAGGGAACAATACATAAATAAGGTATTTAAATATCACCATTTCAAAATTAAGGTTTGAAGTTTTAGATTTCAAAAATTAGGTTTTCATTAAAATTTATTTATAATTTAATTAATTAATTATATATTTAATTAATAAATATATAAAAATCACAGATCTATGCAATTTGGTCACAATTCAAAAATTTTAAGGTCACAATTCAAAAATTTTATAGGTCACGGTTCGTTCATCGATCACAAATTAAAAATTTTAAAGTCACAATTGTTCATCGGTCACGAATCACAAAATTTATAAGTCACACAACTTATTTTATAGTCACATCAAATTATATGTCACATATTACTTTTATTGGTCACAAATTAATAAATTTGTAAGTCACAAATTATTTCTAGGTCACATAATCAAATTTTTATTATATGTGTCAACTATTTTACGGTCACTATTCAAAAATATTATAGGTCACAGTTTGCTCATCGATTACAAATTAAAATTTTAAAAGTCACAATTATCCAAATAATTGGTCACAAACACCCACTGCCACGACCACCACCATGGCCGGCCGTCGCCACCACCACCACCACTCCAACAACCAAAATCAATGCCTCACCACAATCAACCACCTGTAGCACCACCATCACCACCGCAACCCACACCGCACCACAACTACCACCGCAACAAAAAAACTCTACACCCGCAACCACCATTCCCACCCGCCGCAACCACCACCCAACAAAAAAATCCCCAAATCCACAACCATTCCCTCCTCCGCAATACTCTCGTACGTGCCACTCATCACAACCAACCTTGCCATCGCCGCCACCACCACAGCACCATAGATACAGACACAGCCCTAACAACCCACCACTACCAGCCACCCAAACACCACCAACATCACACCACCTCTGCCCCCTCCATTTCCTCACCCATATCTCGAACCATAGCCCAAAATTAGATCCAATACCAGAACGCAGCCAACATCACCGCCCACATCACCCATCACCACCACTAACTACAAACATCATCAAAATCATTGCACAACCTGATCCAAAATCAGATCGCATCAACTGTAGAAGCAGCGACATCGGCATCATCGCATAACTCCAAAACGAGATCCAATCGACCAACGTATCCGACTGCATCATCTCTGAAACCGTATGTCGCTGCGGTAACGATTGAAAAGAACGGCATTCGCTCTCGCCGCTTATTGTTTCAGATTGACGCCGTCGTGGGCGCCACTTCAGGTAGATGCTCCGGCGCTCTCGCCGCCTATTGCTTCAGAGTGAGCCGTTGTGGGCGCCGCTTCAGGTAGACGCTCCGATATAGCGGATAGAGTATAGATGGTTTAGAGAGAGAAAGAAGAAAGGGGGGATAATTAGGGATTATGAGTGAAATTGGGAAGGGTAAATACGTAGAATAATTTATTTATTTTAATAATATGATTAATATTTAAAATTTAAATTATCACCTGATTTTTGAAAAAAAAAAACTATTAAATCTTAATTTTGAATTTGATAGATTAAAACTAGGATTAGATGTAATTTTCCCAAATATTAATCGTGTTTGTTTTTATAATGGGCCAAAGATAAACTAATAGACTTATGCCAACAAATACAAGTATTACTAATACTCTATTGATAGTTTAAAACTAGGATTAGATGTAATTTTCCCTATCCAGTATTTATTAACAAGTGGCAGGAAAATAAGGACCTGTTCGCCACAAACAAGAAATGCAAATCAATGCAATGTAGTTTTCCATAACATCCCAACCCCATAAAAGATAAATGTTGCGCATTCGCATGACAGTTTTCTCACATAATGTACTTGCATTATTCGACAATTTCTTGTAGCCTACCCAGCGTGCACATCCATAAGGATGTGTTTGGTGCACAGTAGTTTAACTCTTTCTTATTTAGTATCGTCCAATTCAGCCTACCAAACATGGTGCAACTAAACCCATACCTTTAGTCAAATAACAGCAAGTAATTTTCAAATGGAGTAAAAACTACCACATTAGGTACCTGCAGCATAACTCAGATAAACAGCAATCTCATTCATGAATACATTACATTTCAAGCTTAACTAAATTTGAATCATAAATAATGCACAAATTTATTACGCCGGCAGATCCAGAAGCTTGTAGCATATGTTTTAACATCCTGAAAGTGTCATTCAGTAACTACTTTGCGGCTTCAGAATTTTCCATAATTGTTGACATAATCTTACATATGGGAATGGTCTCGTTCTTACTCAAAAGCTTCAAGCTCGGGTCAACGACAACATCATTCAGGGATACTTTGTCCCCAATATCTAGATTACTTACATCCACCTCAATTTTTGCAGGAATGAGCTCGGCTGGACACAAGTACTTTAAACTAGTCCTTATCCTGTTTAATTGGCCTCCTGTTTTTGCATAAAAAGGAGAGAGGTAAGTTTTTGTGGAACCCAAAAGTTTCAAGTTAAAATAATATGCTCAAAATTGTGCACCAATAAATAGCATAAAAAATTAAGCACTTACACGAAGATTGCAGCAATTTCAAGGTACGTGTTAATTAAAAAAAAAAAAAACTCCACCAAATGTACTTGACAACTGACGAAGTATGTTAAAAGTGTCTCTAAAGGAGTTAAACTACATAAGATACCAGTCTTGAGGTGCAACTCAGTGAAGCCTGCTCGTGAACTTCACAAGGTTTCCTAGAGTTCAAGTTACTCATTTTCGATTTGAGCTTAGAGGTAGCTGAATAATAACTGAGCTAAGATCGAGCGTATAAACATATTTGTAATTTCACAAGCAGGCTGTGGCTGGCAAGATTTCTTAAATTTTTGAATGGTTCTGATCTAATCCTACGGAGCATTACACTTCTTTTTACAGTTCAAAACACCTTTGTTATGACTTCATTAAATAAGCACTTCGTTTCACAGCCCTAAAACCCTTCTATAGGGTCCTGATCTTCAACCGCCAATAAAACGTCTAAACCTGTCGCCACTACACTCCATCACCACCAGAACTAAACCACTCTTCAGATGTTCCATCCTAAACTATATAAGCTACACAAATTACTGGACCACAAATTATTTACAAAAACTTCTCAGAGTTTTATCCAATTTGGCAACAAATCTATTTAACTAGTTGTTTGGTAATTTAATCACCAGTACCACATCCTTCATGTCGCCATTTTCTCCCATCTTCACATCAATGCTGCTGCAAAGATATTGGATAGAGCTGCAGGTATCCTTGTGATCCATTTTTATTTTGAGCTTGGTATAAGTGGTTGAGGATGAAGTTGAAGGTAATGCCGATAACAAAATTAAGCTCGAGCAAATATGAGGCTCAAGCATTGACAACTGATCAAGCCTAACTTAAGTTCGTAAATTCCTCACTTTGATCAAGCTCAAACAAGGAATTATCAGGTTCATCAAACTTCGAGCCAAGCATGAGCACAAAATCTTCTGCTCATGCTCAAGTTTGAGTCTGAATATTCTTCCCGTGCTCTGCTCTGCTTATTTGCACAATAGTCAATTTAAGAGGACGATGCTTTTCCATGAAAAGAAAATGACTAGACAGAGCATCTATGATGCACCGACATAGACACATGTGTCCGACACGATGTATCCGACAGGCAATTTTTTTTAAAAAGTACAGATACAACACATTATCGATACGTTGATTAAATTCTTTAAAATTCTTCATTTATATAGTATAAATTTAATTTTATACTTGTTATTAATTTTTCTTGTTGAAATCTTTTAAATATGAATACCTATTTGTTACTTGCTAATAATTTTGAATTAACAATATATAATATTTCTAATATAAAAAGAAAAATGATTACGATAAAGTGTCCGGGAAGTGTCGGTATCGACTCGTATCCGACACGTGTCGGACACGGACATAGACACGCTACCATAATTGAAGTGTCCGTGCTACAGAGCAGAGCATTCTAGCTGGAGAAGTGGCATCAACTTCCCACAAGAACATTGGATCTAGATATAAGCAAGAACTTCTTCTCTTAAAGACTATGTGATGCAGGCAGAAGCGTAAACGATAACAAATATGGGATTATAAAAGAAAATCCATGCACGAATTAACCATTTAGGTGGATAATTGAAGAAAAATCTCCAAATATTTATTCAATATTCAAAATCAACCATCGTACAACAGAATCATAACAACCTATTTATACCAAACTCCTAACAACACTTTCAAAGCAAAACAAACTCTAGAAAACTTATCCACGTTGAATGAATTCATAATCAAAATAAAACTATAGAAAACTTATTCATTAATAAATTCCTAATAAAAAAAAATCTTACTAAACATAAAATGATAGAAGACTAATTAATTAACAATAACAAAATATTAAATTAAATGTGTCATCCTGCATCACTATACAACAACAACTTACTTCTCCCAATGCAATCAAGTCAATAACAATGTAAGAGAAAATAACCATCACAAAGATAAGGATATAAACCCCTAGGTACAGTAATTCAAGTGCGACGGAAGATGTAAAAATTTTCAGCATATTGACACCACTGTACGCAAAAGCTATAACTCATGGCACTAAAGCAACTCGTCCTATACTACCTAGAATTCAGCTTGGAAATTCAACCCAAGCCCACTCCACGTGGACCCGCCCATGTTTCAAGCATGCATATGTATTAACTATTATCTAGCCACTCAATAAGAATGTTCTAGCATCGAATCAAACACGGGATATCCAACTCCGATACCAACTGATGAAGGATATTGTCACCACGTTGCCCAAAAGTTAGCTCATGATACTAATGCATTCCATCATATATCACCTATAATCAAATTTGAGAATCCGCCCCAAGCCTACTCCTTTTGGACCCACCCATTTCAAACATGCTCTTGCATTAGTATGACTATCATGTAGGAATTTTCTAATACAGTTATCATGGTATCTTTGGGAGTAGTTTTAATATTGTGTATTCCTATCAGTTTACAAGGTGCTTAACTATTTGTTTTTCCTAGTAGTTCTAGGACCACCTTGGTCTAGTTCCTTACTTGAATGAGGGACTGGAGACCTAATTTCGTAAGAAATAACTTATGGACACCAGATTTCTAATTTGTACAGGAAATTCTCCATGCCTCAGAATCCACCAGCCTTAGCGTAGGCCGGTAATGTTTTTTTTTTTTTTTTAAATATTGGCTCTTCTGCAGGCTGCAGCAATCATTCCTCACTCTTTAGTCTAGAACAGATCAGATTTAAGATTTGGAATTCTTGTTTGTCATCATATTGGTAGTAAAGCTTAACCAAGCACAAAAATGGGAGATGTTGGAGTTGCTAAGGATAGTCCAACAGCTTCATATTAAAGTTCAGAACATGCAGAGCAGGTGCTGCATGGAAGCACGAGTACGAAAACAGAAGATGGCTGTGCCCGAACAGAAAACACAAGGTTGCAATGAATACCTTGACCAACTGAAGGAGGTTTTTAAGAAGAAATTGAAGAGTTGGAAGAGCAAATGCGTATTTTCTCTAGGTAAAACGGTCATATACAAGATATTAGCAGAATTCTGACAAACTGGATTTTCAAATTTATTATGCAACTATTTGACAGTTATCAATATCTGATTTTAACATTTCTATTTAAATTTTGATCGAAATGAAGTCAAGTTTCCATCAAATTCTAGATGAGTTAAATGCTCCAATTTTGCTTCTTCCTTCCTTTTCTTCCCACACTTTTTTTAGCACCACTAGCTTCTGTCTGCTTTTTTCTTTTATTAGGTCAATTTTCTATCTAATCAATAGCTTCAAAACTGATTTTAGATAATTACATATTAATTTTCTTATTGGGTATACCAGAGAAAAATGTATTTTCTTAATAACATATTCCAGTGAAAATTGGCAAGAAATTTCGATCATTGGATCTGCAGATGAAATATTAGCAATGTATTCAGATACTGGTTTCACATAAAAGCATTCACTTAAAGCCTGAAATGCTTGTAGACTGACACCCAAGATTAGACACCCATCTGAGTAGATTATTCCTACTTAGAAGCTTAAAATCAAATATACACCACACACACACAATTTAACCTCTAAATCAGTACAAAGTAAAAATATATAAACATAACTACATTAGCATAAGGATTAGCAAGCTTATATTATTTTCATAACTTAAGCCTGCGCATAAGAATTTCCAACACAAGATTACTTCAATAAACACACTTATATTCAAGCACTGAAGAATCAGAAGCAAAAGAGTCCAATTTCTCGATTGGCAAACCAAACAATGTTATATGTCAAAATGTCGACCATATATTCATGCATTGTCATACCAAAACGCTGAAAACACTGACTGGATATCCAAGTATGTTTTCCAGATAAGAAATATTGGAACACACAAAACAGAGCCAAAAACCAACCTTTCTTGAGACCAGGGCAAACATCTTCTCCAGTAAAAACAACAGGCACATCCACTTTCAGTTCTGTTCCGTCCTCCGCCCACACGAACACTAAGTTCAGTATATTTCCCGTCTCTTCATCCATATGTATCTACACATCAAATATACAACGAAACTTCACTGTTAATGTAACAAAAATCTTGACATTCCCTGGGTTTATTCAACTCTATCCGTTTATTACTAGTCCAAAACCATAGTAATTCTACACGTCAAGTATCAATTATTAAGTAATACAATGCATAGAGTGCTTGCCTTAATGGGTAAGACTTTTCTGGTTTCAAGTATAGTGGAAGAACCCGACCCGGCTCGGATCTGGAGGGGAAAAGTGTTCGAGCAGAAAAACGGCAGCTTAACATGCTTGAGGATCGCCTTAATCTGCTTGCGCTCTGTGCTAAGGAGGACTTTCTGTGATACGGAGGCGTCAGCGGCGATAGAGGTGGGATCGTTAGGGTCTCTTTGGACGTAGCTTTGGGAGAAAACCACTGCTGGAATGCGCCCCAGGGATCGTTCTCGGACGGAAACTCTGTGGCCGGAGATTTGTCTTGGAATAGCTTGAATCGTGTGGAAACAGCGGCTGGATGGTGTTACCGTGGCAGTCTTGACGGCACCGGCCGCCGCTCGCCACCACTTTGACATTTTTCCCGGTTGGAGAAATGTAAATCGGGAGATTTTGGCCGGCGAGTAAAGGTAGTGCAAGGTTTATGTTCCTGAAGTTTTAATAATTTTTTATGGATTTCTAGTAATTGGGCTTCGTATGGGCCCAAAATATAGAAAATTACCCTAAAACCCATCATTTAAAATTAAGTTTCAAATTAAAAAAATCAGGTCTTTTAAATTCAAAATCAGATTTAATTATTATTTTTTCAATTATCATATAATAATTATTATATAAAAAATTATATTTTATATCTACTCTCTCTCTCTCTTAGAAGTGTCAATTCGGGTGGTCCGGGCCGGGTCGGCCCGCCAACATGTGAGCCCGGTAACGGCCCGCGTGAAAATCAGCACGACCGCTGCGGGTTCCGGGCCGGTTACGGGTCGGCCCACAATTTTGGACTACAACCCAGGCCCGCCCGCTGACCCATCCGGGTCGAGCCCATGCGGGTCACGGGTCGCGCGGGTCGCGGTTCGTTCCGATTTTGGCCCGTATGATTGTATAAATAAAATTATAAAAATATAGAATTTTTCATATTTATAGCAAAAAATATATTTTTTTATTAAATGTAAACTAAGAATTGAACAAAATGATAAATTCATAATTATATCAAGAAATTTTTACATAGAATTCAAATTTAATGTTACATGAATTATTTATAACTTTGCAAACTTCTACAACATTATCATCTTCTAAATTTATTGGAGAGCAACTATTATTGAAAATAGGATTTTGAGAAAAAGAATCGCGAGAATCCATAATATAGTAGGATTAAAAAATTTAGTAGTGACTAGTGAGAACCGAGAAGAAAGAAATATAATCAAGATGATGATGATATTTGCAATTGAATAATTGTAATTGTAGTAAGGTAGTAACAAGTATGAACTATGAAGTATAAATGTATAATAACTCATGAGAGGGTATTGTAAAAATAATCTCCCCCCTTTTTTTAATTTTTGTTTTATTTTTTTTTTCAATTTTTTTTTTACGGGCCGTGGGTTAACCGCGGCCCGTGGGGGTGCAACCTGCGAAACCCGCGGGTTACACCTCCTTGGTCCATGAACCGCCCGCACGGGTCACGGGTCGGCCCGCGGTCCCGATTTTTACAGGCCGATTTTTACGGGTCATAGCCGGCCCGTCCGTCTTGACACCTCTACTCTCTCTCATCGATTTCTATCTAATCTCTATATATTTACATACAGATCTGTACATCAGCCATCGCATGGAGCAACCGATGTTGTTGATATAGGTCGATTACTAGCTATGGTGATCGAGTACAAAAGGAAGGCAATGGCTTTAGAAGATAGGGTGGCAGAGACGGGACCTGACGACTACAGTGGAATTTATTGTAGAATTCGATTACGAGGTGTGGGAGGTCGTGATTGGCAACAACTGTCATTTACCGTGGTTGCTAACAATAGTGGATGTACGGTTGGATGAAGTGTGATTGTAATATGTGGTCGAGGTGGCTACAAGGTGAGGGAAAGCTTGGACAATGTATTTTGGAGGCAACGACGTGAAGGTTAGATTCAATCGACGATGGTGGGAAAGATGAAGGTAAAGGTTGAGTAGAAGATGTAGGTCATTGTGGACTAGACCTTCAAATAACGTATTAGTGTGTGATCGTTGGTCGGCGCTGCAGTTGGTGATTTAGGTGGTGCATCGCTGCTTCTTCCTTTGGTTATGTGCATCTAGATATTTTGCGATGCATGGAATGGTGGTGGTGGTGGTGGAGGAGGTGATGGTGGTGGTGTGGTGTGGTAGAGGAGGAGGTGATGGTGGTGGTGGATTTGAAAAAGTGGTGGTTGTGGATTTAAGGTAAGTGGTGATGAGTTGTGGATTTTAGGTGTCAGCGATGATTCGGGTAGTGCCTCATCATCGATAGTGGTAGAGTGCGAATGGGTGAGGTCGTTGAGATGAAGAATAATTTGTGACTAGTTAATTGGTTAATTAAGATCAATTAGGGTATGTTTGTTAAAAATTCTCATTTTCAACAGTAAATTAATTCTCATTTTTAACCACACATTTTTCAATAAAATAATATTTTCTATCACATCAATAATCTTATCTTCTTTTTCAACCACTCATTTCCCATCATATCACTATTCAAAATCAATTCTTCCCCCCAAAAAATCCCTACCAAACACACACTTAATTTGATAATTTGTGATTGATAAATAAGTTGTGATCTATAAAAATGTGTGGTATATGACTAAAATTGTGATTGTAAAACACAATGTGTCTTTATTACTATGATCTTGTGTGATTTATGATGAACAAGTGATCGTGATCATAATTTGTATTTTATTGTGACCTTGACATGTTTAATTAATTAACAAGTCGCAAAATTTTGTAATCACCTTATTTTTGAAAAAAAATCCCAAGTTTCTTAATTTTAAAATGTATTTTGAAAACAATTCTGCTGGTGCAAACGTGCTCTCTGAAATTCTGACTTAAATGAAGTCTTTCAGCCCCAACAATTGGTATCAAAGCCGGACCTTGACAACCTGAAAAAAGGCTGAACATCAAGTCTGAAATTTCTGTTTTTCTTTCCTCTTAATAACTGATTGTACACATCATTTGTGAAGAAAGATTCCTGACCAAAATCTTAATCACACCATGTCAACATCCAAATTTGAAGTGGAAAAATTTGATGGCAAGAATGATTTCAACCTATGGAGGGAGAAGATGATGGCATACCTTGGCAATCTTAGATTGGAAGAAGCTTTGACAAAACAATCTGAAATTGATGCTTCAACCAAGGCTGACACCTTGAGGAAGACAAGAAATACCATCATCCTTAGCCTCTCTAATACGGTTTTAAGGAAGGTTATAAAGGAGAAGACAACCTTTGAAATATGGAGTAAACTAGAGGAACTTTACTTGACTAAAGCTTTGCCAAACCGAATTTATTTGAAGCATAAGTTCTATAGGTTCAAAACGGATGAATCAAGTCAATTGATGACAACATTGATGAGTTTACAGAGCTGGTTTCAGATTTGAAAAATCTTGAAATCAAGATTGAGGAAGAAGATCAAGCCATTTTCTTGTTAAATTCATTGCCACCAGCCTATGATCATCTAAGAGACACCATCAAGTATAGCAAGGAGTCTTCGACCCTAAAGGAAGTTGCTGCAGCAGCTACTCAAAGGAATTGGACCTGAAATCGAATGGTAAGATGACTGGAGAAGTGTTGAGTATGCAAGGAAGGAAAGAAAAGAGAGTGTACTGGATTTGTCATAAAAAATGACACTTTAGGAAGCATTGTCCACAAAGAAACAATAGGTGGATGAAGCAAGGAAACAACAAGCAAGATGGAGACTGTGCAAATGCGTTTGGAGATTGTGAAAATGTTGAAGTCCTTGCTACAACAAGAGCAAACCACAGCAAGGTCTGGATAATGGAATCGGGTTGTCCATTTCATATGACACCAAGAAAGGAACTTTTCATTGATTACAAACCGGTTGATGATAGCAAAGTGCTATTGGCAAATGACAACACATGTGAAGTGATTGGTATTGGTTCTATCAAGCTGAAAATGTGGGATAGATCTTTAAGAGTTATAGGTGGAGTAAGGCATGTACCAGGACTGAAAAGAAATCTAATCTCACTTGGAGCACTTGACAAAGCTGATTGTGTGTACAAAGCTCAAGGTGGAGTGTTAAATGTAATGGAAAAGTCTGTGGTGATCATGAAAGGAGTCCTACAATAAGGCATTTATGTTTTACAAGGAAGTGAAGTTGAGGTTCCGGCTGCAATTGATCTGTAAATCCCTTCAAGGAATCAAGGTGGAAATTGTAAGAAGATGATTCCTTAAATTCAATTCTAATACCTCAGACATTGGATTAAATTCTGTTGCAAGAAGGAACCATTTTTCATGCTGTTTTGATCAACTGAATTCAGCTGGAATCTTCAATAACATGGAGCCTTGATTGGTTAGTTAGTTAGTTAATAACTGAAATGATTCCTTGTTTGTGTCTATAAAAGCGCTGCATTAGAAGTGTAAAAGGTGCAACTTGAAAATAGAGAAATGAGATGAGATAGAGTAGTGAACTCTTGTCAATCTGTAGAAATTCCTTCTGATGATTTCAGATTGTAAATCAAGTAATGTCTTGTGGATAAATCAAAGTTGAGGAAGACATTCTTCCTGTTCAAAAATATGTTCTTCATTTTTCTTTCCCGCTAGTTTTATTTTCTGTTGGTTTTCAACTCTGCTGGTTTTTTTTCCTATATCTGTTTTCTTCTTCAAAATCAATTCTGCTGGTGCAAACGTGCTCTCTGAAATTCTGACTTAAAGGAAGTCTTTCGGCCCCCAACAAATATAATTGTGAAAGACGTCTCAACCTTGCATATTTTGGCATTTCACCCATATTTACACATTTCATTGTGAAAAACATTCTTGTGTCCATTTCTTGTCAACTCATCCGTTAACTGAACACCTGTACTCAGTTTTCTTTTCAAACATGAAGGGTAAATCACATATTCTAGAGCCTTCTGGTTAATCAAACATTGGATCATGCATTAGAGAATTCAAATAGGTGAAAACAAAATAGTACCCAGTTTCATTGAAAGAAAATTCCTCGAGTCGTCTGGCTAATTCAATTTCAGTAGCTGCACCTCCAGGTATTATCTGACTATCCTTGCACATAGCCTAGACAAAAAGTGTAATGGATTCAACTAAATCCTTTTCTTAATCAGGGAATTTGAGCAAAATTTTAGCACTAGATAATGAAACAATAAGTACTCACCTGTTTTTCTGTTATTTAAACCAAAAAAAAAAAAAAATACATTTGCTTATTTTCATTAGTTTAATCGATAATTTAAGAATTAGTATAAAAAAAATCACAAAATTTGTTTGCTATTCAATTAAAGTTGGAATAAATTTTAATTCGATCAAACACGTAGTCCTCGTGGGTCCGACACTCTATTAACTACTTTATTACTTGACTACGATCCCGTACACTTGCGGGTTTTCAAACGA